TGGTGCCATAGCGCTGCCCCTCGGCGCTGCGGGACCAACCCGGCAGCACCCCAGCTGCTCTATTGCAGGCATCCCTGAGTCAGCTGCTGCTGAAACTGACCAGCAGCGGCTGAATCAGGGACGCCTGGGGCACAGCTGGACTATCGTAAGGGGGGGCTATGAGGGGTCTGGGGTGGCATCCCCTCCCACCCCACTCCAGTACCCTCATAGCCCCCCCTTCTGATAGTCCGGCATATCTGATAATCCGGCACCCCCTGGGTCCTAAAGGTGCCAGATTATCGGAAGTTTACTGTATTTAGAATCCAAAAGCATATAAGCTAATGGGTTGTCTCACCAGAACAACTTTGTCATGAAAATATTGTGCTGAAGGCACATCTTCGGTTGCTCATATGCCATAAATCTTTCTTTTTAACAGGTACAATCCTAAAGATAAAGAGAGGGAGGGAATATGATCTATTTGGAGTCCGAATACCTGATTTCTGTTGGTGGTTCATCCACTGACTTGCTGAATTTGGCAATTTGATTGATCTTATCTGTTCTTCAGTATTTAGATTATAAGCTCTTTACAGCAGAGACTATCTCTTATTTATATTTCTGCACATAACACAATGGTTTTAATCTCATTTGGGTACTAGAGATATTACTGTAAGGATATCAGTGGAGGAAAGCCTTTGAAAATCCTGTCCTTAAAATGGACAGGGATTCTGTGCATTTAAGCAACCCTAGATATTTTGGGAGTAATTGGCGACTACATGGATAATGAGACAATCCAAAGGCACATTAGATGAGTGAGGAGGAGGGAAATGTTATAAAGCCTTGCTTCAGGGGCTATACCAATCACTAGCTGGTGGGAAGATTTCTAATGTCAAGATTTTTCATAATTGTTCATTACTAGGTTTCTGGCACTATATAGCATATAGTGCTGGTCTGGATGATCCACCAACATGGTCCTCTTGTGTCATAAACCTGTTCCTCTTGTGGTGTAGATCAGTACAAAAGAGAGACCTAGCAAGACAGAATATCAGCTTAGACCACAAAGTAAAATGAAGATTTATTAAATCCTCCATTGGGATCAAAAGAACTATACTATATTATGTATGTTAATGGTTTTGTGTTAAAGAGCATTGCATTTTTCACTCCAAACCATATTCACTAGCATAGTTCATATGACATTGTGCAATTTGAGAGAGGCTGGTAATGAAATAATGTTCTGTGTTTACATATTATGTAAAACACTCAGAGGATCAATTTGATTATATCATAGTTATCTTGATGGAGTTATTTTCTTCTGTACTCATCTACAAGTGTTCATTTCAAAGAATGAGAGAGAGACAATTAAATTGTTAGGAAAGCAAAAACAATCAGTTAATGAAAAGAGATTTTCAGTTTCTTCTCTATGTTGTTTAGTAATAAATACTAAGTAGGAGCAATTTTTAAAAAAAATATTTTATAGGTTCTCCTTTTCTTACAAAGCAATTTTTGAAACCCAGTTAATCACGGTGTTCTTTCAGGAATCAATCAATAGGCTTAAAACAATGGTAAAAAATATGTGCTTTTATTGTATTTTTTTATCTAAGGATCCCAAAGTGCTTTATGTACTAAACATTTCAGAACAGCCGCTATAAGAGGGGTAAGATACTTTATGCAACTTTTAGATATCACCACCTCTGAAATGTAATTTAGCTATTGTTTAACAGATCACAGTAATGCTAGATAACGGCTTATAAAGAAAATATAAAAGAATACTCTCTCCACGTGAAACTTCAGGAGGTCATAAAAATGTAATTACTAGAATTAAAGTTTGGATCAGACACAAGAGTGTTACGCAAAACCTGCATGTTTAATTAACACAAGCAGTTAGGACTAGGAGCGAGTAAAACATTTTAGCTAATGTTATATTCACTAAAAAGTACAGTTTTGGTCAATTCAAATGATTCATAACTTCGTGTTGCGTTAACTAAATAGTTAGGACTGAACTAAAAATCTTAATATATAAAGGAGAATGTTTGTATGTTTGTGCTTTGATAACTTGGGAACTATAAGAGCTACCTCAACCAAACTTGGCATGGGGTAACCTTTCCTCCAGAAGAAGGTTTTAAGGTACTTTTGGCAGTGCAGGGAGAAGCAGCTTCTCAGGGGAAGCGTCGGGGACAGTCACTCACTAAGGCTGGTGGTGGAAGGGCCACGATCTGAGTGGCAGCTGCCCGGCTTACCTCTACCAGCCTGTTCCACTACTCAGGTGCCCCCCTCCTCCCTGCCACCCATGATGTCACTCGGCCCAGGCCTGCCCCCTCCCCTCTGGCGGTGGCCGAGGGTTGCCAAGCGGCGGGGTGGAGCTCACGGCTGCTGCTAAGGGGTGGTGGCAGGTGCAGTGGGACAAGCCCAGCGGAGAGGTGACGGTGGCGGCGGCGGCCTAATAGATTAGTAAGACAGGATTTCCCTTTATAGAAACCATGTTGACTTTTGTCCAACAATTTATGTTCTTCTACATGCTTCACAATTTTATTCCTCACTATTGTTTCTACTAATTTGCCCGGTACTGAATTTAGACTTACCGGTCTGTAATTGCCAGGATCGCCTCTAGAGCCCTTTTTAAATATTGGTGTCACGTTAGCTACCTTTCAGTCATTAGGTACGGAAGCCGATTTAAAGGATAGGTTACAAACTACAGATAATAGCTCAGCAATTTCCCATTTTAGTTCTTTTAGCAGGGGCCAGCTGTAGGTGTCTTACTGCAGCCTACACATATCCTTGGTGTCAACAGCAGCAGGTAACTGACAAGACTTTTGACAGTTTCACTTCTGCATAAGGGCTAAGGATGTGGGTTTTGCCCACGAAAGCTCATGATATTATATATATTTTGTTAGTCTCTAAGGTGCTACAGGACTACCTTTTGTTATTCTTAAAGTTACAGACTAACCCGGCTATCCCTTTGAGACTTTTAATATATTTTAGAAATATGTAAATGGAATGTTTTGTTTCAACTCAGCTTGAAAATGTTCATTTATATTTTGGCTATTTTGGAGGATGCTGTTTAATCTATAGCTCAGTCATTCAGACACTTGCTGGGGATGTGGGAGGGACTGGTTTCAGGTTCCCCCTCTGACTAAGGGATTGGAACATAAGTGTCTCACAGTATACGAAATGGATATTCTGATGGGGTGCATCTACACAGCACCTTTAGTTTCAAATAAGCTACGCAATTTGTGCTACGCAAATTGCGTAGCTTATTGCGAGTGTATTTTGAAATAGCTTATTTCATAATTTGGTATTGTCTACACAGCACCAAATTTCGAAATAACTCACTATTCCAAAATGCCCCTTAGCCCCCGTGAAATGAGGTTTATCACGATGTTGTAATAAGCTGCCTGTTATTTCAAAATAACGGGCTGCTTTGATATACGCAGAATAGCCTGCAGCCCATTTTGAGAAACACTGTCAGAGAGAAAAGGTGATTCAGTAAATGGCACCTTTGCTAGAGTTTCATAGCAATATTGGTTTAGGGCTAAGCTATACATATTGGGCAAAATTGTGTCCTTAGCCATGGGAAATATGGTGTTTATTTTTAACTGTACTGTTACTGCATAGCACTGGCCCCTTAAAAGGGAAGAGACCCATACATCTGTGACTGGTCACTCCCAGTTGGACTTGACAAGGCACTTGGTGCCTACAAAGAAAGACATCAGGGGAGTCATGGCAAACCAGGCCTTCAGTCAGCCAGAAGAATGGCATTTAATTTCATTTGCCATTTTGTCTCCTAGTCACCTAATTTTGTGAGATCCCTTTGTAACATTCCAGTCAGCTCTGGACTTACCTATTTTGAATAATTTTCTATTATCTGCAAACTTTGCTGCCTACCTGTTCACCTCCCTTTTCTAGATCATTTATGAATATTTAGTGTAATGAGTAGGTTAAGAGGTAACAAGATAATTGAGAGAAAATTTCTGATAGTAGAGGATTCTTTAACCAAACATAATCAGATCCAATAGGTAGAATCCATTCTAGCTAGATAAATTCAAATTCAAAATAGATTTAAGTATCTAGCAGGATAATTTACTATTTGAAAAATATACCAAAGGATGAGATGGATTCTGCATCACAAGAGATCTTTAAATCACGATGGGATACAAATCCCAGTGAAAAAATAATTGTGGCATGGGAAAATATGTTTCTGTAGAGTATATGTTGTTAAACTAATTTAGAGTGTTTTCAGTCAAAAAATATGTTTGTATATGTCTAAGTAGCAGTTTGGCAGAAAAGGGCCTGGAGATTACAGTGGATGAGAAGCTGGATATGAGTCAACGGTATGCCCTTGTAGCCAAGGAGGCTAATGGCATATTAGGGTGCATTAGGAGGAGCATTGCCAGCAGATCTTGAGAAATTATTATTCCCCTTTATTCGGTACTGGTGAAGCCACTTCTGGAGTATTGCATCCAATTCTGGAGCCCCCCAATATAGAGAGGATGTGGATGCACGTGACCTACAAGGAGAGGCTTAGGGATTTGGGCTTATTTAGTCTGCAGAAGAGAAGAGTGAGGGGGGATTTGATAGCAGCCTTGAACTTCCTGCATGGAGGTTCCAGAGAGGATGGAGAGCGGCTGTTAACAGTAGTAATGGATGGCAGAACAAGTAGCAATGGTCTTAAATTACAGCAGGGGAGGTCTAGGTTGGATGTTAGGAAAAACTATTTCACTAGGAGGGGGGTGAAGTACTGGGATGGGTTATCTAGGGAAGTGGTAGAATCTCCATCCCTAGAGGTTTTTAAGTCTCAGCTTACAAAGCCCTGGCTGGGATGATTTAGTTGGGATTGGTCCTGCTTTGGGCAGGGGGCTGGACTCAGTGACCTCCTGAGGTCTCTTCCAGCCCTATGATTATATTATTCTATGATTCTGTACCTTATCGGGTTGTGATTAAAGGAATCTTCCAAATAAAACTCTTGTCAGAGAAAGTTCAAGGGAAAGTCATAGTGGATTTTTGTCTTTTTCCTTAAACATTTCTAGCTGTGAAGAAGAAACCCAAACTCTTTAACAAGTTTGATAAGACTATTAAAGCTGAACTGAATGCTGCAGAAAAGCTACGTAAAAAGGTAGGTTTGAATTCTTTCTCTGGATAATATAAACCATGGCTACAAACTAACAGTCACAAAAATAAAAGGGATAATGAATTTGATATTTGTTTCTGTTTTTCCCTAAGAATTTGACACACATTTGATTGTACTTCAATGTTCATTTTAGCTTGGTCATTCACCTTTCATCCTTTTAGATCATAATGAATGTTCCATCATGTCTGTCATAGACTGTTTTGTAAAATTTACGTCTTAACCATTAATTCAATTTTGTAAATGTTTGCATCTTTGTCTCTAGGTGCATATACAAAATATTTTAAAAATTTGAAGACCCTGGTCAATGGATATACTGACAATGCATATCCAATTGTAAAATAAATATACTTTTCTATCACTGCAGGTAAAAACCTGAGTGAACAGACTCATTTTACAAATTGTCTTGAAGATCAATAAATTATGGCTCTGTCTTACTAATGGGTACACATAGCACCTATCCCTCTAGTGACATGTGCAAATTGAATCACTGCTACCAAAAAGCACACTGGCTGATCTCAGTTGTCTTTAAAGCGATTAAGGAGATAGCAAATTCTGCAGATAAATAAAATCATATCAATTGATGACACCACCACAGGTTAAAATCTTTTAAAATCTTATTTTATTTTTATGAAATATAAATGCAAACAAAGCAAAAGATATAAAATATATATGCACAAGATGAAAAAATCACATGGATAACAAAATTCAGTATTCATTTTTTGTAAAACATGGGGAAAAAAACTAACCCAAACCCATCAACAAAAAACCCTAAACCCATAGAGACCACACAGGGCATCGGTTGTTAAAGTAACTAAATAAATATACAAGTGAGAACACAACCTATGAGTTTTGGGGACTAATATATATTAAACTGCAAATGGATGTATTAGTTAGCCTCTTTCCCCCCCACAAGTATTGCTATTTTCTATTGATGCAGTAATAAGGCAATCTGTGTAGGAGGAATGAATTGTAGATTTCCATTTTCTGATAACTCTTTTGGCCACTAAAACACTGTAATACATTACCTGTTCACATTAAAATGGATCATTCTGCACCTCTTCAAAGCACAGGCTTGGAGAAGGAAAAATAGCAACACTTAAAAATAGAACTGACTATGGTGTTAGAGAACACGAATGTTTTTGACAGAAATTGATGATATGTGAAAGGTTGGTATGGGGCTGTTGGCCTCTCCAACATTCACTGCATGTTACCGATGTAGCCTTAAGCAAACTTTCCGGAGTCTCGTAATGCCTTTTTAATATCTGGTTCTGGAACTTTTGAAGTATCTTTCACATTAAGCCAGATACCCTCCCAGGTTTATGTTGTTACAATAAGGCTAAGTTCTTTTCTCCATTTTTCTTTGAGACCCAGAGTGAGTGAGTAATGCAAAGCTTTAAGCCACCTATAAGTAATTCCTTTTGTTTCCAAGTTTCTTAACATGTTCTGCTAGAGGTGAGAGAGTTGAAACAGACCAATTGCCCCCCTCCGTTGCATGAATCCTTCAGCATAGCTGCTGAACGAAAGAAATCCCAGGCTCTGGTATTTGTTGTACGTGTAATCAAGGAGACCAGTCTATTATCTTGTATCATATCTTTAATTATTGTTAATGTTTTTTCTAGCCATATTATTTTAAGTGTAGATCTGGCTTTGATCCTGAGGGCAGGGTAATTCCATAGTGGTACAAGAATTAAGATCAGAAGCTGTCATCATCTTCCCAGGATGCCCCAGGGAAATGCACAGATTGGATTTTTCCTTACGTGTGGGGATAGTCTCTTAAAGAGGGAACCAAATAGCAAGGCCATTGTGGGTGCGGGGCCAGAGAACCGTTTTTCTGTGAGGGGCCATTGACCCACAGAAAAATCAGTCGGGGACCACCCGCAAGCAAAAAAAAACCCCAAACCCCTCACATGTGGTCAAGGCTTGGTTAACTCTTTTGGTTGCCTGGAGCTATTAGATTTGGTGGGGCCAAAAATGAGGAGTTCAGAGAGTGGGAGGAGACTGTGGATGTGGGAAGGGGTGTGCTCTTTGGGGTGGGGATGGTATTGGGGTGTTTGGGATGTAGGAGGGGACTATCGGGTAGCGCCAAGGGGCTTGGAGTGTGTGAGGAGACTCGGGTTGGGAAGTTGGACTGCAGGGGAGGGGTCTGGGCAAGAATTAGGGTCCTGGAGTGGGCTCAGGTGCAGGGCACAGAGTTGGGGAATAGGTTGAGGCAGCTCCTATTCGGTGTGTGTGGGAGGAAGCAAGTGGCTTACGTGGGCCAAGTTGATCTGCTCTTACCTGCAGCCAGGGATTCCTGACCAATGGGAGCTGCAGAGGCAGAGCCTGCAGGAGAGAGCTGTGCGGGGACAGAGCTTCCCCCGGTGCTCACGGCCATGTGTGTCCAGCTCGGTGGGCGGAAGTGCTTGTAGCCGCTTCCCCCAGCTAGGCGGGGCTGGATAACTCGCTAAGTCTTTAGTGCGTATAGCCCAAGGTCCTGAGCTAAGAGAACTTGCTAAATGATCTGGACTTTTGTGAGGGCTTCCTTTAGCCTGGGCCCCTGGGCTGTAGCCCCTAAAGCCTCTTCCTTAATCTGGCCCTGTCTAGTGGAAACGGGCTTGGGGTACTGGCACTTGTGCTCCGAGGCTCAAGGTTTCTGGCTCCCTAGCACAGAAACTTGCTGTGGACCTGATCAAATTAAGGAGAGGGCCAGAAGTTCCCCACATCTACTTCAAAGCCTACATTTCCATCCAGTCTTCCTTTCTGTTCAGCCAATTGCTCAGACAAACAAGTTTGTTTATGTTTACAGCAGGTAATACTGCCTGCTTCTTATTTACATCACCGGAAAGCATTTACATGACACCTTTGTTGTTCCTCCCTCCCACACTGTTGTTCCTCCCTCCCACACATGGCTGGAGCTGTGTTGCTATGGGCACTGTGCAAAACTTTGTCCTCGTTTTGCTCTTGCCTGCATGCTCCACCACTGTAGCCCCCATTGGCCAGGAATCCCAGCTAATGGAAGCTGCAGCAGGCAGTGCCTGCAGGAGGGCTAAATACATTATGGCCTTCACTGAGCCATCTGCTTCCCCCACTCCCAAAGGGGAGCTGCCCCATGTAAGTGCCCCCACCCTGAGCCCCTGAACCAGCCCCAAGCCCCCGCCTGTGCCGGTAAGTCACTAACTCCTTCCCAGACTGCAGTCTCCAGCCCTGAGCCCCTCCAGCACCCGAATTCCTGCTAAGGCCCTGCACTTCCTACCCCTACCTCTTGTCCTGTGGTTCCCTCCTGTACCTCAAATGATGTATCCCCAGCCCTACTGAAAGCCCTCCCTCCCATACCCACGCTCCTGCCTCAACCTGCAGCCCTCTCTGGACTCTTAGCTTTTGGCCCCACCACAGAGCTTAGGAGTCCCCCCAATAGCCTCAGGCACCAAAAGGAGTTAATCCAGTCTTGCTAGATACAGTCATCTATTTTTTGTACTGCATTTTAAATTCCTTAATTGACCACTTTTGACCAAATTTCCTTAATGTCTAATGTGATTCACCTTAGTGTCTAGTGTTTCACAATACAACTTCAACCCAGCTAAGTGGTTTTTTTCAGCCACTATAATATAAAACAATTGGTTTTAGCCAAGAACAGCTAATTATATTGATCTATATGTATGCACAAAAATGGATGTCTCTGGAATTTGCAGCCAATCTGGTCAGATGGTGTGTAAGAGAAAAACCTGTAATAAACAATATGAAATACTTTCTGCTTTATTTTATAGAATTGGGAGTAGTAATCTAATTACACTACACTGTTTATCTTTCAAGATTCTATAAGGGCTTTGCTATAAGATAAAGTATTTAGCAGAAATATCTTCCTTTCAGGGAAAAGTTGAAGAAGCTATGAAGGACTTTGAAGTATTAGTGAGCAAATATCCACAGAGTCCACGAGCAAGATACGGGAAAGCACAGGTACCACTGAAACTGTTGTAAATGCAAAAATAATATTTAGAGTAGCGGTTCCCAACCAGATGGGAACCCATTTTGACAATTCAGGAAGACTTGGTGACCCAAAGCAATTAAAAAACTGGGGGAGGAGAGGAGGCAGAGCCACCTGGGGAGACACTTGGTGACCTTTTTGAAATGTAATGGTGACCCATATTTGGGTCCCGACTCATAGGTTGGGAAACCCTGGTTTAGAGGTTATCTAATAATCGGGTCCTGTATGCAAAGCAGTTTGTTTCTGTATTCTGTACAGTGATCCCAGGTTTTAAGTGAGACTCCTCTTCTTGGTTATTTCAAGTATCCTCCTTCTGAAGATACTGGAAAACAAGCTCTGACTTTGTAATAATTCTTTGATATAACAACTCCAAAACAGAAATATTCATTTTATTTTCATAAAGCATGACATTCAAAGGAATAGGTTTAATAAGAATCCATTCAAACTCATTAATCAAGATAAGCAAAGTGAAACCATCACAGCAGAAGGGCGTTGTGTGTGCTACAATTAGTAAGACATTTCAACCAGACTCTCCATCAGTTTTTATAAGGTAAATAAAGATGATGAAAAAACTAGTGCATGGACCCAGGGGTCAGCAACCTTTCCAAAGTGGTGTGCCGAGATTTAACCCACCTCCTTTGGACTGCGTCACTCTCCTGGGGGGAGGGGAGGGATTCTCTCGACTGCGTGCCCTGCTTGGTCCCCTGCCCTGGGCTCTGCTCTGGCTTTTCTATGGGGAGGGAAGGACCAGCAAGTGTGCGTGCTTCCCTGGAAGATGGATATAGTATGGAGCCTCGGGGCTACCCCTCTGCCCCACAGGAAGCCAGCACTGGCTCCGGTCATGCAGGGGGTGGAGCTGGATCACCAGCACAGGTTGGGGTCAGGATGGCTGGGAGGGGAGTGGTTCAGGGAAATGATCAAGGCAGGAGCGGGTGGGTAGATGATCCCAGGATGTCCAGCCCTGCTGGGGGCGAGGTCCCGTGGGGGTCCAGTGCATGGCGTTCTCACCTTCCTGCCAGGGATCCAGAGGCCAATGCAGCTTTGGGGTAGGGAGACCCTCCCACGCATTATCCACTCCCCTCAGCTGCCCCAGTTGCCACCCAGCCCCGGAGCCGCAGCCTGGGCAACACTCTCCCTCTAACAGGGGCCTGGTGGCAGTGGTACTAGCAGCTGGGTGTGACTTTGGTGCCGTTTTTAGCCCACCTACTGGGGGCACCATGAGGCAGAAAGGGAGGCAAGCAGAGTGGGAAGTGCTGAGGCTGCAGGGCTGAGGCTGTGGAACAGGATGGAGAGCGGCAGGCTGGAGGAGGCAGGGATGGACTCCCAGGTGAAGGCAGCTGAGGGGTGGAAGGTGGCTTCACCAAAGCAGGAGAATAGCACCCCACAGGGAGCTCCCCTCCTCCCCACGGCTGCCACACCCTAGTCCAGCTCCAGCCTGTTCCCAGCAGCCAACTTGGGGGCTGCCTCGCTCCCATGTGGCCTAGCCATCCCCAAGGCAGTTCTGCTCCCCAGAGCAGCCCCACTCCACCAAGTGGCCTGGCTGTCTCCGGAGCAGCCCCCTGCCAGCCATAGGAACAGCTTCCACGGCCATGTGGACCAAGTCCTGGCCCTGGCCAATGAGGAGTGACCACCGTGGCCATATGGCCTAAATCGCACCCTGGCCGCTGGAGAAACTTTCCCAGCTGAGTCCCCACCACCACCAGCAGTAGTGGCTCACCTGCTCCCACCGGCTCACTGCTGTACGGCTGCAACAGATTGGGCAGGCAGAGAAAGTGGAGAGCACCAGCCACTCACACAAAGCCCAATCTGCAGCCTCTCTGCCTGCCCCCCAGAGCTGGTGCTGTGGCTTCACACTGGCAGGTGTCACACCCAAAATTGCACTTACTGCACACATGTCTACCCCTGGCATAGACACTAATTCACCATGGACCAAATTCTCTGGTCAGGGAAACGGATGAAATTCTATTTAAACCAATGGATCTACACCCTTTTACACTAGCAGAACATTTGGCCTCAGTCTGAGCCTGTCAGTCATGATGTGCTGAATTGATTGTAGAAACAAAGAACTTCATTGAACATTGCAAACTTCTAAAACATTATGAAGCTGCAGGTAACAAGTTCCCAGGTTTTAACTATTGACAGCAACAATATGCTGCTAATGTGAAGCTTTTTTTAAAATTAATGCCAGTATAGTGGATAAAAGATGCCAGTATAGTGAATTCAGATTGACCTATATATATAGTTCCATTATTGAAGTACTTGTGATGCATTAAAACTACTAATTAGCAAGATATGAATGGAACCCAAGTCAGAGAAAATAGGAGAGGTTAGGAGGGATTCATAGAACACTACTAATCTGACTTAGCATAGAAAGCATATAAAATAATATCCATACTTTTAAAATTACACATGTGAGATCAGTCTAGCTTCATTTCATTACTGAAAAGTGCTTCACTGCAGACAAAGGGGAGAAGTTCCATGCCAGGGATGAAATCTTGGTTTGCCTGAAGTCAGTGAGATTTTTGCCATTGTCTATAATGGAGCGCAGATTTCACCCTACATTTCAAAATGCATCTAAATCTGCTTTCAAACTTGAAAAACAAAATAAGGTTCACAGAACATTCTTAGTAGAATTCTACTGGATCTTCGTAGGTTGAAGTTGGGGACAGGAAAAAAACAGTTGGGCATAAGCGAAGAAACTAGGTAAAGGGCCAAGTGAGACTGCACCAAGTGCAAGGTATATGGAAGAGGAAAGGGTAAAAAGCGTGATGAACAGAGAGAAACAGGTTGCGGACCAGAAGGGTTCCAGTAGTGAACAGAAGCTGGGAAGGCAGCAGTCAATGGCAACACAGCAACCAGAGGGGAAATATCTAGACTTCTCGTGCTGTCAGAAGGCTGAGACTGTCTCCTGGCTGTTTCCACCTCTCTGGGAGAAGAGCCTTGGCTGACTGGTGCTTTCTTCTTTGAAGGAGGAGTCCTGAGCGTTTGGGAACTGTCATTTCCCTTCCCTCCCCCGAACTCCTCTTGGCTATGGCTGCTGTTCCCCATGTAGTGAGGGGGGTTTGGATGGAGGGGAGAAAGTGATGGATCCGTGTGCTCTGGGCACTTTTCTAAGCCTTGTAGAATCAATGTTTTCATTCACATGATGCTTAAGTGTAACAACTTGTTTTTAAATAACACAAAATTTAGCTATAGCAAGGTAGATGCCTCAAGCCACTAGAAAATAATTAAGTACCTGGCAAATGGTGGTATCACCTTAACAGTAACTCAGATATCTTTCAGCTCCTGGGGCTGCTTCTCTCGCTTTCTCATTAGGCAACATCTGGAGAAGTTTAAAAAATTAGGCATTATCCACAGATAGCTCTGATCTGTGTACAACATAATCCTTACACATCATTAATATAGTCTTTTTAAAGTAGAAATTCTGATTTTTACCATTGTCACAGCTGTTCCCCACTCTGGCACTCTGAGTGCAGAAAGTGAGCGCCCACAAAAGACCTTAAATACCTCTATGGGCTCTACTTTTCTCTATGGACTCTGCTTACCAAAAAAAAAAAAAAAACCCTCCCGAGAGTCACAGGTGCATTTACTCTGGGGAAAAAAGGCTGTCACCATCAAGTGATTTTCAAGAAACCTGAAAAACCAGGAAGGAACAGTTGAATTCTTTCCCCAGGGGTACCCCAAACACTTCTGCCACAAGAGAGCTTGAAAAAAGAAACAAAACACAGAAACAAACAGTGTCTTTGACAGCTTACTTCTCAGGCCAGGCAGGCACACACACACAGACCTATTACTTTCCAGGACACACGAATCAAATCATTGCCTTAAGATAGTTGATTTTATTAGCAAAAACAAAAAGATATCCTTGATAAAGCATACTTGGTTGCTAGGTGTTACAGAGCAATTGGAAAAAACAAATTAAAAGATAGAGAACATGGTATCCCTGGATACAGCTTAAATATAGTGAATGGGCAGGGGAGTACACATGGATTTTATACAGAGAAGTTTAACCAAACAACCAAAACAAAGAAAATACCCTGAATGTGACTAAACATACATTCCTCTCTCTACTCATGATCCGCGCTGGTCCATAGTTCAAGGCCCAGTTTACTCCCATGCCCAATATTCCTTGTAGGCATGGTAATTCTGATTACTGCATGTTGCTCCCTTCCCCCCCCAGCCATGAACTTAGAACTCGCACAATGGAAGAAGCAGCTAGGGTATCTATATACAATTCAAATGTCAATAGTCTTTCCCATTGGCTTTCCAGACTTTCTGCCAACATCCCTGCTAGCTACCTGAGTTTAACTCTTTAGTCACTGGGTGCTGGCCAACACTCCTCCTATCCATCACAATCACCCACAACATTTTTAGAATTTGGTATTATGTATTAGCATATGACCTTTGAAAAACTACAAAATGACCAATTTTCAGTTGGAATAACTCAGTGACTTCAACTAAATATTTGTCCCAAAATCTCTCTGTATTAAGAAATGGTCTATGATGCTAGACCGTCTGATATAAGAATGTTGTTTCATAAGAACATAAGAACTACCATACTGGGTCAGACCAAAGATCCATCTAGCCCAGTATCCTGTCTGCCGACAGTGGCCACTGCAGGGGGCCCCAGAGGAAATGAACAGAACAGGTAATCATCAAGTGATCCATTCCCTTTCATCCATTCCCAGCTTTTGACAACCAGGGACAGGGGCCATCACCTCTTCCAATCCTGGCTAATAGCCATTGATGGACTTATTGTCCAACAATTTATCTAGCTCTATTTTGAACCGTGTTATAGTCTTGGACTTCAGAACATCCTCTGGCAAGGAGTTGACTTTCTGGCATAGATTGTCTCCACTATGTGAAGAAATACTTCTTTTTGTTTGTTTAACCTGCTCCCTATTAATTTTATTTGATAACCCCCTAGTTCTTGTGTTAGGGGAAAGAGAAAATAACTCTTTGTTCAGTTTTTCCACACCAGTCATGATTGTATAGACCTCTACCATATCCCCCCCTTAGGCCATGTGTATACTTGCCTGCAGATTGATGCTTATCAATCTTATGGCGTTCGATTTAGTGGGTCTAGTAAGAACCCTCTAAATCAAATGCTGAGGGCTCTCCTTTAGATCCCAGTACTCCTCCTCTTTGTGAGGATAAGGGAAGTCGACAGGAGCATTTCTCTTGTCAAACTCCCGCTGTGGGGATGGTGCCAAAGTTTGAATTAAGGTACACTCACTCCAGCTATGCAATGAATGTAACTGAAATTGCATATCTTCAGTTCAAACTTATCCACTAATGTATACCTCGCCTTAGTTGTCTCTTTTCCAAAATGAAAAGTCCCAGTCTTATTAATCTTCCCAAATATAATAATGTGTTATAACAATTTTGTGATTCCACCTAGAGTGAGGATGATTTGGCTGAGAAAATGAGAAGCAATGAAATACTGCAAAAAGCCATCAACACCTACGGGGAGGTTGCTAGTCTGCCAGACGTCCCTGCTGATCTGGTAAAATTGAGCCTGAAACGAAAAGCAGACAGGCAGCAATTTCTTGGTAAGATTTAAATATGACTTACATGTATGAATTCAGTGTGCAGAATTTATGATGGAGGTATTCAAATGTGCTTAAGCCAATGCTACTCAAAGTGGTCCACGAAACTACTCTGAGAAACCAGCTAACTAGCCGTTACAGCATGTTTATTTACCAGCTCCACAGCCACAGAGCCTCATGGCTCCCAGTAGCTCCAGTTTGCTGTTTGCAGCCAAGGGGAGCCTTGGGAAGCAGTGTGGGCCAGGCCACCACTTCCTGCCGGTATACCAAACCTCTATACTTGCTGTGTATATGTGGCCTCAGGCAAGGTGCTCCCAAGGTTAAGTGTTTACACAGAATCACTTCTGGGCAACCAGCCAAATAACCCTCCCCCTTTAAGATGCAGGATGGTGATTTTAGAGAGACAAGGTGGGCAAGGTCATATCTTTGACTGGACCACCTTCTGTTGGCGAAAATGCTGACTCTGGCTCACTTGCACCCGAAGAAGAGCTCTGTGTGAACACCAAAACAATCTCTTTCACCAACAGTAGTTGTTGCAATACTAAAAAAATCACCTGTTTATTTAATGGATGGGGTATTGATAGCACACAACTGTAATCAGTACATTCATGGATAATTAGGTAATCTACCTCTAGATTGTCTAATACATATGTTATCTTGTATACTTTTCCATGTATATTTCTGTGTCTGGGTTTTATAAAGTAGCCCATCACTATGGTATCTGAATTCTTACATGGTTTTTGTAAATAGCTCATACTTTTCTGCTAATAACTTAACTTATTACATTGTCTTCTTTACAGAACAATGAAAGCTTAATCATTATAGGCATGAAAAGTATCTGCCCCAACCCTTATGCTGCATAAAATAAACTTTAAAATCCCTTCCCTAAAAAAATCGGGGGAGTTTTGGAATTTAAAAAAAAAAAAAAAAGTCTGAGCTCAGGGTCTGATAGGATTGTGGGTTCATCCTCGGGGTGGCCCGTCCATATAGGCGGACTAGATGGTCGCCTAGGGCACCAAGTTAAATGGGGTGCCAAATGGTGGCACGATATCATTGAGGGGTTTGGAGGTGGGGGTGCTGATTGCATGGTTTGCCTAGGGCGCCAGATGCTGGCAGCTAGTCTAGGGCCACCCCTGTTCATCCTATTTATTCCTTCCCAAATAATTATATTGGAGAGATGTGGTTTAGTGGAATGAGTAAACACCTTGGCATCAGGAGACCTAGGCTTGCACACACTGGCACTGACACACCATGATTTGAAAGGAATCCCTTATGCACTCATTTTGAAAAGTAAACGTTGAGTGCCTCAGGTTTTTTCGTTGCCTAACTTTTGACTCAAATGACCTGACATTCAGAGTTGGCAGCATCAATATCTTCCACTGATTTCAGCTGCCTGGACTTGTGGGTGCTGATAATCACAGTGTAGGAATTTAGAGCTGGGACCCCAAAACTGAAGCTGCCAAACTAGTAGACACTTCTGAAAATTTAGATCCCAGTCCTGTGATGATCCAGGCTGACTCCTGCACTCGGGTGCGTCTAGACTACAGGGTTTTGTTGACAAAAGTGGACTTTTGTCGACAAAACTATACCTGTGTCTACACTGCCGCTGAGTTCTGTCGACATAACGTCGACAGAACTCAGTAGTTTTGTCGACGGCTGTAAACCTCATTCTACAAGGAATAACGCCTTCTGTCGATAGAGTTCTGTCAACAGAAGGCGTTATTGCATCTACACTGTCCTTTGCGTCTACACTGCCATGTCGACAAAGTGGCTTGCTTTGTTGACAGAACTGGATGTAGTCTAGACGCTCTTTGTTGACAGAAGCTTTGTCCACAGTATCTGTCGGCAAAACTTCTGTTGACAAAAGCCTGTAGTCTAAATGTACCCATATTGACTTCAATAGGCATAAAGGTCCATCCAGCTGGGTCAGATTTCAGGACTGGCTTGCTCATCATCTCTTTGTTCATCAGGAAAGTCCTAGTCCAGGAAAATAGTGAAGCACATACTTTACATTAACATGTGAAACAACTGATTTCAATAGAACTATTCTCACACTTAGTTAAGAACATGCGTAAATGTTTTGATTTATCAAGGTCAAAATTTGAGTTGAAGTGCTTTCCTGACTATGTGGAGCACTTTGAGATCTGCAGAAGATTAATAATTACAGAAGTGTAAAGTATTATTACTTGTACTGCACTACATGTGATTGTCCACGAGAGGCTCTCATAACACTGAAAGAAATGTACAGTTCCATCAGAGATTTGGTAGCTATTGCTTCTAAGGTGAAAATGAATTAGTTAAATGTATTCACATGTAATGAAGTCCACTTTTATGTTCTGCGTTATCCATGACCATTAACGAAAGGTAGGGTGCACAATTCTGAATTTGGGTTTTCCAGAATATGTAATGTCAGTTGTCTTTGAGCATTTATTTATCTTTTTTGTAACCCTTGTTATAATTTACTCTTGTCTAATCAAATTAGGTCACATGAGAAGTTCTCTAGTTACTCTTCAGAAACTAATTGATCTATTTCCCAGTGATATCTCATTCAAGAATGACCTTGGAGTGGGTTACCTCTTGATAGGAGATAACAGCAATGCCAAGAAAGTTTATGAGGAGGTGAGCTTCCCGTTCATATCAATTGAGAAAAAATACATTGTTAACATATGTATTTAAAAAATTGCGTACTTAATTTCCTTAATGTTTTGTAAAGCAAATCATGTGTATGTATAGCTCTTATGGGTTACCATAAATAACACTTTTAAGCTGATCTTAAATTGGTTACTCAAATGTTCCTGTATCAGAGGGGTAGCCGTGTTAGTCTGAATCTGCAAAAGCATCGAGGAGTCCTGTAGTACCTTATAGACTAAAAGATTTATTGGAGCATAAGCTAGTCTATAAGTTGCCACAGGATTCCTCGTCAAATATTCCTGTTATCAACATATTAAACACTCTTCTTTATAGATAAATAAAATTCAGGTGAAATTTTTTTCACATGATTAACATAAATTGTCTCCTTATTCCTTAGGGTAACCAGCTATGTATGTATTTAAATATATATACACATAGAAATAATAATCTTTATGATGGGAGATGAAGACTTCTGTTTGTGTAGGACAGAATGCAGCACAGATCCCTTACTTTCCTCAGTGTGCCTCTGCCCTGTTCTGGAGGGACAAATAAGTAGGGCCCTACCAAATTCACAGCCCTGAAAAATGTGTCATGGACAGTGAAATCAGACCACTTGTGTGAAATCTAGCTATTGGAGGAAAGGGGGATGGGCAGGGCTAAGGATGTCTCTGCTGGGACATCTACTATTCACTGGGGTCCAGCTGCTAATCTGCAGTGCTCTTGAGGATGGGATTTTCTCTTCCCTTGCATGGCTTCTTTTGAGGGAAGATGAGGTACTCTCTGGGTACCTCCTCTGGCTGCAGGAAGCTCCCAAGGGCCATGCAGGGGAAGAGGAAGTCCTGGTCCTCCCCAGCCTGGCTGGGACTAGAAGCTAGGAGCCCCTGGCTGGGGCACTCCCAGTAGCATGGCAGGAGGTCAGAGCTACCTCTGAGAACCACCCCTGGCTGCAGAAAGGTTCATGGGGCTCTGAAGGCAGCACAGAAGTGAAGGTGGCAGTCCTGCAGCACCCTGCAACACCTTTACAACCCCCATAACTTCCTTTCAGGTTTAGACTCCATCGGCCACACCACCAGGAAAGCTCAGATTTCAACATCTGAAAATATGAAATAGACCAATTTTAAAACCGCTATCCATGAAATTGATGAAAATGGAACATGAATTTTGTAGGGCTCTCAGGATGCGATAGGGTGGTCCAATCTGTGACCTTTCAAACCTTGCTCACACTGTCAACACAAGTGCCAGTCTAGTCACGTTTTTGTGCGGCAGCTTTTGTGCCTTGGATTGCTGCTGCTTGCCTGTCTCACACTGTAGCTGAATGGTCTGGACTGGAGCAAGCTCCACCCATCTGAGAGGGTTTCCCTGTCCACTGACAGAGAAAGCAGGAAACCCCTTCCACCATGTGTGGAACTGCATCTGGACTATCAGGTCAAAGCTCAGTCTGGGTAAGGGGCCCTTTCTTGCTGACCGTCCTTCCCCTGACAATGCTGGTGTACTTGTTGGAGCACCTGAGCTACAAGATTAACTAGATTGGCTGGCACAGAAGAAGCCTGTTATCCAAAGTGAGAAATAGGGTCTACGCTGTTGGGTGCCACAAGCTGGGTCCCATAGGGTAACCAGTTGCTATGGCAGCAAATAAAACTGTTGCTATACTTCACACAGCTCTATGTCTCCCTCTCTTTTGGGAGGTAGAGAGCTCTCCTGTTCCATTTGGTGCCCCAATTGGGCTAATGAGCTGTTGGAGCCAGGTGCAATATTTATAGGAGGGTGTAGCTGGAGCAAGGAGCCCAGTCCCAGCACCCAACACCACATGTGTTCTTAGTACAGTGTTTGCTGTGGTGCTGGAATCTTTTATAGACCCAACCTCAGAATGTTTATGTTCGTTAATATTTTGGCACGTCACCAATGTTTTCTTGAGGAACGTGAGACTAAAAAATTGGCAGCTTTAATAGTTTGTGTATCAAACAAATCTGCATAGAATTTCATGGAATGAAGACAAGATATGTTTCTAGCCCAAAGTCTGTCGTCCTTCTGATGTAGTTACAAGCAATGTAGGTGTTAGAGCTTGTTAAAAAAGGTCACAAAATCCTTTATAATGTCAGGGGAGGAAAGCATAAGACAACCTAAATGTAGATAAGAGGTTACGATCAGCTCTACCTATAATTATTTTGATATGAGTACATTGTACACATTTTGCTGTATCATACCAAATACTGTGATGGTGCCCAAAAATATTGTTCTGAGTAAAACTAGCTATGCTAAATTATTGCTGGTCTGTTTTTAATGTCTGTTGCCATGCTGTTGTAGGCTTCATCCGTTACAATTATTTCCTTTCGCAGTTCACTAGCCAGTGTAATGAAGAAGACCACAATAACGCTTTGTCCTTGTAAAAGATCAGCTATTGCACCATTTGATAGCTTGGCTGATGTTCTATTTGAAAAAATGCTCCCCCCACCTTCATATTCTGACACTCTTGTGAGCAAAACCCTGACATCTATACTCACAAAAAACTTTTATGGATTTCTTCGATATGATTGGTTAATGCAAGGGCTGTACCTCTGAATTCACTTGCTGATTCTACCACAGAATTCTTGTGTGGCCTTGGGCAAGTCACTTATTCTCTCTGTGTCTCAGTTCCCTTTCATTAGTATGATGGTAATAGTTACTTTCTCATGTCTGTTTGGTTAGTTTACAATGTTAGCTCTGAGTACTCAGGAGCTGTTTGTCATGGGACAACACCTAGCACAAAGGAAGCCCATTTTTTCTGGGAGCCTTTAAATGCTATTCCCGTAATAGAAACAACTGTAAAAAACTCTAATCACTGCTTTCCTTAGTAAGAAATAAATTTGGATCTCAGTATTTGGCATAGTGTACAAGAAGCAAGATTTTTGTTTATTTGCTTCCCTTGAGTAACTTGAAAAATGTTGGATGATTCCTTCCCTATCACTGATATCACTATCACTTGGTTACAAAGAGGCACTCATCATTAGAGGATCAAGTCCTAAAATCCTAAATCAGTAATGTTACTCCAAAAAATTCCCACTGGAGACCACCCAGGGTTACACTAGCATGGGTTTGTTTGAGGAATTAGCACTCCACTGTATGCACTACAGAAATAGAGCTGCCTCCAAAGGTTTATACTAAAGAAGATACAGAACTACCACCAAAGGTTTAAACTAAAGAGGGAACCACCTATCTCTCACACACACTCATTCCTGCCCTCAGGCACTCTCACACTTACACAGGCATATGGGTGGCAGAAGGAGCCAAGGCATGTAGATTCTGGAGGGTCTGTCTGCTCATCATGGCTGGGGAGCTGGTCATGAAAGAGACTTGTAGAGAGGAGTTTCTCAGGAGCAGGGGAAGAAAGAGAGAGTCTCGCATGTGCTCCCTCTCCTTATATTGTGTCCGTATTGTCCCTGTGACTCATCTACCTCATCACCAGGGAGCATGCCCAGATTTCCCTTTATCCAGCAAAGCAGCAGTCTCTGATGACTCATCACCATATGCTCCAGCCTTAGCATTGCAACTTCAAAAACACACTCTCACTCTCTCTCTCTCTCTCTCTCTCTCCATCACTCAGGGGAGAATGCAGTTCAGAGCAAGTTACAACCAAGGTGGCTGAGAGTTACAAGGATTACTAAATTTTACAAAGATTACAGCAAGTTGCAAGGTTTGACAAAGGTTACAATGAGTTGCAGTTTAAAATCTTAGACCTTATAGTTAGTATATTTTCAGAAAATGCATGTGTAAAATCAAGTAAGCTCAGACGGAGGCTTTTTATGCAATAAGTAATGGAATATATTTTGATTTAGCTTTACATAATCTACATTTAAAAATATTGGTGACAATCATTTGTCAGTTCAAGTAGTGATATGAATTCAGGTCTGTAGATTTTTTTTTTCTTGCAACAGCAAATGACATCTCCTAAGAAAATGGATGGAGATATTTATAAGTATTACAAAGAAGTAATGCAAAGAAAATAATCTGAATTTGGGTCTTGGCTGATGAAGGCTTTTCAATTTTCATTTCTTTTCTCATCTTCTTATTTGTCATTGAAGTTGTAATCATTTTTGTAACAGCTGAGTTGGATACAGAAAATGAGATCAAACCAGAACTGTTTTAAAATCAATTTTATAAAGTTTCCATAAGGAGTCAGTGGCTGAAGAAGTACTATGGTGTGGTTTTAATTTCACAGGTGATCAGCTTAAGTGCAATAAGTCCTTTCTTTTCACTTCAAAGATGGCGAACCTGAACGTTGTACTTTGAATTAAGAGTTATATGTCTATAGCTAGAGTTTAATATGATGGAGAATATGCCCTATTTGACAAAACTGTGCACTGTGCTACAATTGGAAGGGAATGTTAAGAAATAGACAAGTTTTTCCTCCTGTTATATGTCTTTCCTTTGAATATTATATTTAGGAATTTAGGAACAGGACATTAAAAACAATCTTTGGAGAAATCACAGATGCATTTGTTTTCAAAGGTCTGTAGATCATGATTTAACACTCTTCATGGAATTCCTCATTTGCAGAGCAATTGCTCTGAAGGCAAATTCTCTGTTTGCACTTTTGTGCTACTGATTGGCTATTATTTTGAATAGTCCCTGAGGTTTATTGCTATATCCATGATTAATATTTAATGAACTAAGCAGCAATTTAGCATAACTTCTTTCTAAAAGTAATTAATATTCTATGTAACAATTGGATTAGGTTAATATACATAATTTACATTAAATGCTTCAAGCGTACTTTCTGTTGATTTTTATTAAATCACTCTCTTGGAGTGGTCATGAATGTAAATTCTTGCCTTAATGTAGATGGATAACTTAAGTGAACTATCATGCCAAATGATTTGTAAAACTAAGTCAGATGTTGTATGTTTGGCTTTTCTACTTTAGTTAATCAGATTAACAAAATTATATGGTGCATAAATACTTTTTAAACTCAATTTGTGTGGTCCGCTAGGCACAGCTTGTTGGAACAGAGTTATTATCTATGGAATATTGTAACCAAAAGATGTAAAATCAATAGCAATACCATTTATTTTCTAAACGGATGGTCAAACAATTTTTAACTGTGGTTTGCAAGTCCATATTTTTACCCTTTCTTTAATTCTGATAGAATGTTATAGATTTCCAGATTCTCTGTTTGGTTGAATCTTTGTAATCATTTATTCCTGAGCAAAGTGGATGTAAAATGCTATCATTCTTAGCTAGCATCATTTTACACACACTTTGTCCTTAGTTTACAAAGATATAAATGACTATATAAGGTGAAAACAGCACAGAATCTGGTCCTAAGGAATGAAAGAGAATTTACTTGCTCAAATAACTTTTTAAGGGGCAGGATTTTGTGTTAAGTTAAACAATATCTGGAGAAACAGGGAAATATGGGTGAAATCAGTATGTGCATTGCTAAGAACTTGTATATAACTAGTAGTTTCAGGAATGCTTGTGTACCATAGATCTGTAACTGCAATTTAAAAATATTGTGGGCTTCGCTATTGCCTTAGTCATGGTCTACACTTAAAGTTAAATCAACCTAGTCACATTGCTCGGGGAATAAAAATTCACGTCTCTGAGCACCGACACTGTCATTTTTCTAGGTGAGTGTTCCATCCTTGCTACATCCCGGGTCCTGCCCCTGCAAGTGCACCCTGTCTTCTTGCTGCCCCCATTCCATCTGCTCTGCTCCCTCTCCTGGTGCA